CTTTCCCTCGTGACATCCACACTTCCTACCCCCTAAAGGTATAGAATATTTTACGTGCTTTCCATTTCCATAAACTATATTTGGCATAGAGGTTGTTCACTGGGTTACTTTATAACAGGGCTGTGCCATGGAATGCATAGACAATGAAGATATAGTTTTATGAGAACGTGAAGTACTTTATTTTGCAGGGCTTATTCCTGGTCTCATGACTACCCTGGAAGGAGCACGGTGGAGAAAACAAAACAAAAAGAAACTGTGCAGAACAATATAAGAATTGCATCAGCATGAAGATCAAACACCCAAAGAGAACACACACCACTACAATGTTGTGAATCATTGCAAAAAATCCAAACCCTCCCTGACCCAGTTTCCTACAAGGAAAGATAAAGCGTCCTTTTAAAAGCTCTTTCTATCTAGCTATGGAGTCTTTGCTTGCTGAGAATTGAATGCTCACGAAGCTTCCTTGTGGGGGGAGGGGATTTATTTTTGGACCAGCCAGTCATAAATAATAAAGGTGAATAAATAATTATTTGTGAATAATTTATCTAATGAATGTAGGCCATCCCACTTCATTTGGGTTACTCTGATGTCAAATGGATGGGGAAGCGATCAGGCCCTTTTGTTTTTACACATTTTACTCCTAACAGGTTGTGACCAGTTTCATTTGCATTCCCAGATTGCTTGTTTTGATTGCTTGAAATACATTTTTACTTAATAATGCAATGTGTGATTGCTCAACTCAGTCACTTGGTATGTTTTTTGCTCCCTGACTGGATAACTAAAACCTTTATGCCAATAGAGAATCTTTTGTGCAAATGACCCCCCTGATGGCTCATTTGACATTCATTTCACTTGAAGCCATGTATGGGAGTTGAATGCAAAGCTCATGGAGGTGAAAAAAATGCTTTAAGCCCTCTTCAACCCAGCCTTCCTTGAGCTGAAAGTAGATTAACACATAGGCAAACTAGGCACATGCCTAGGGCCCCAAACAGTGGGGGACCCTGGTCCTTTCCTCCGTGGTGGTGGCACCATCCACCTTCCTTCCCTTCCCTTCCCTCTGCCAGCCTCACCATGGCCACAGCTGCTTCCTAACAGTGCCACTGAGCCCTGCTCCCCACATGTGGCAGCACTGGGTGGGGAGGGAGGTCGCGACTGGCCAGGGGCCCACAAATTTGTTTGCCTAGGGCCCACTAAAGGGTTAATCCGGCCTGGGCTGAAAGGACACCAGACTCATATAAGAGAGGACTTTATACACTGAATGGCCAAATTAAAAGAAAAATGAATATCCCCAGCATAGCCAATTATTAAAAGCCATTGTTGCACATGTAAACTTAACCAAATGCCCTGATGGAAGATATGTAGGAGAGACCAGACAACAACTGCGCACCAGAATGAATGCACACCGGAAGTCTATCAAAGACAGAAACACCCAATTACCGGTGGGGGCACATTTCTCACAGGAGGGCCACTCTCTCTCCAATCTCTCAGTCCTGATCCTCAAGGGAAACTTACACAACACTTCCCAGAGATGAGCCTATGAGCTCCATTTCATCAAGTTCACCAAGTTCACCAATCAGGGACTAAACATAGACATTGGATTTTTGATACATTATAATCTGCCTGGCAACTGACTCCCCAGCCCAGCCCAGCCCCTGGCTTCTTTACTTTTCATTCCATCCAGGAAGAGCACCCAGCACTCTTCCCTGCCTATGCAGGGGGTCAGACTCGATGATCTCAAGCAAATCCCGGGACGTCTCAAGCAAATCCCGGGACGTCTCTCAAGCAAATCCCGGGACGTCATTCTCCCCCTGTACTCGGCCTTAGTGAGGCCGCAGCTGGAGTACTGTGTCCAGTTTTGGGCTCCACAATTCAAAAAGGATGTGGAGAAGCTTGAGAGAGTCCAGAGAAGAGCCACGCGCATGATCAGAGGTCAGGGAAGCAGACCCTACCATGACAGGCTGAGAGCCCTGGGGCTCTTTAGCCTGAAAAAGCGCAGGCTCAGGGGTGATCTGGTGGCCACCTACAAGTTTATCAGGGGTGACCACCAGTATCTGGGGGAACGTTTGTTCACCAGAGCGCCCCAAGGGATGATGAGGTCGAATGGTCACAAACTACTTCAAGATCGTTTCAGGCTGGACATAAGGAAGAACTTCTTTACTGTCCGAGCCCCCAAGGTCTGGAACAGCCTGCCACCGGAGGTGGTTCAAGCGCCTTCATTGAACACCTTCAAGATGAAACTGGATGCTCATCTTGCTGGGATCCTATGACCCCAGCTGACTTCCTGCCCTTTGGGCGGGGGGCTGGACTCGATGATCTTCCGAGGTCCCTTCCAGCCCTGATGTCTATGAAATCTATGTCTATGAAATCAACCTGCTGGATACTAGAGATCATGGACTAAACAAAGACATTGGATTTTTGATACAGTATAATCTGCCTGGCAACTGACTCCCCAGCCCAGCCCAGCCCCTGGCTTCTTTACTTTTCAGTCCATCCAGGAAGAGCACACACCAACTGCTGAAACGTCCTTAGCCTGACGAAGGGTTTTTGAACCCGAAAGCTTGCTTAATAACTATTCTCCAACTATTTGGGTTGGTCTAATAAAAGATATCAAATTAACCCAAGGAACCTTGTCTGCCCATGTAAACTTAAGACATTTGTTCTGAAAACCACTGGGAAGCGTTCAATATTGAAACCCCCAATACCAATTGTAAAGTTGCTTTTCAGAATAGTATCACACTGATGGATCTTGTAGCACATGATCACCTCCCAAAGACACATACAGCTGTTTCTTGTCCTGTTACATAAGGATATGGACAAAAGTGCTCTTGGAGCATCCTCAAAAAGAGACCTGACCTGCCTCCTCCAAGTTTATGTTTATCCAGACCCTAAGACTGTTGTGCTGCTAATACCAGTTCAAAATAGCTAGACAAAAGCAAATTGAACATCTAGTATTCAGTGAGATAAATTTTGAATCCATATATGCATTAAAATTGACACTGACATGGTGTTCAACCAGGCCCCAGAAGGTACTGCAAGAATAGACTGATTTCAGCCAACTTATCTTCTAACATTAAATTCAGACTGCTATATAAAGTAGTCAGTGTAATTGCTTTTTCTCATTCCACCAAAAGGGAGGTTGTTTAATGATTTCAAGTTTTCTGACCCAGAATAACAAGTGGTTAATGATGAGAGTTATAACTCATGACATTTCAAAATAATTAAAAAAAAATCTAATCCTAAATATGACTAATCCTGAAATCCACAGCATGAATGGAATATCCCACGGTAAAAGTAAAGCAGGGGAGATTATCTCCTTCATGTGAGAGGCAAGTCCTGACAGAGCTGCTAAACAAATCCTTTTGACACACTGGGGTTGCTTGTATTACTTCTGTCTGCTTGTCAAAGAAAAGGCTTGGATGGTGGTGTTCCTACAAGTGTAATTTTTCTACAGAATGAGAAAGTGTCGGCACTCAACAGAAAGCCTGGCATTAGCTGTAGTTACAATACACCTAATGGGAAACATAACCAGTAAGAGAGAGAACAGCATGTCCTTTACAGCGTGTTATATTTTCAGAGTGTTTTTTAATTCTCAAGAAAGGGGCAGCCATAGGAGCTGATTCTCTCTTTGGCGTAGGGATGACAACTAATAGCTTTTTATTTGACCTTACATGAAAACAAGCTATTTCCAGGTTTTTTTAATCCTCCTCCAGTTAATGCTAAATATTGATTTTTTTTTTTTGGTTTTGTACTCAATGGCACGTGTTTTTTCACACTGTAAATTCAGGCACCTTTGGTGTTTAAAGGCCTCCATATATGGCACACCTAAATATCTGTTTCCAAGTATAGTGCAAGAATATGCCGAAACCTGAGTCTCGATGGAGCTGCAGTGGTGGGATTCAGTCTGAGGCTCTTGTAGTCCTACCTCCTCAGTTCCCAGTCATCCTGGAGAAGATTGCCTCTGCTGCATGCTCCCAGAGGCCTTCACAGTTCAGAGCCAGTTTCCCTGGCTTTTCTCTCCATTCCTTTTCTTTGCTCCTTCACTGCACTCCCTTTGCCCTTCCCCACTGCCTCCCTGATTGAGTAATCTGACAGTTTAAGGTTATAAAACACAAATGCCACTTCGTAGCCCCCCTAAAGGCCATGTTTAAATGTTTGTTACTGAGAAGTGTGCCTCTTTGGCCAAAAGATTTTGGGTAATTTCCTAAAATGGGCCTTTTCCCACAGCTGCTCTCTTGAGAAAACTTGGGCGATAATCTTTCACGTGGATGATTCTTATTCAATTCTCAGCTTTTCTGTATTATGTTTCCCCCCAACCCTTGCCCCCAATGCTGAGACTGGTTTCAAGGATTTTCAAAGTATTATCAATTTACTGCTCACTGCTAGGTGATAAATTGCATCTTTTATTGAACACGTTGCTAATTAGTAATTCTTAAGTAGGTTATGAAAACAGGGTATCAAAAAATGCTTTGAGGTGAGAGGTACCTAACCTACAAAATAACCTGTAATTGCAGGTGTCTTGGTACTGTTTTCCTTCTATTTTGGAGAACACTGTATAGTGCAAAGTCATCCTCTCTGAAACATCTGAACTTGGTGAAATTAAGTAAGAGAATGTCTTCATTGGAGGCAGAGGCAACCCGAGCAGGGTGCGGGCCCCAGGGCAAATCAGCCTGTGAGGGGCCCCTTGCCACCCCTGGATGCAAGGAAGCCAGCGGTGGATTTGGCGGTGACAAAGGGGAGGGGCTAGTGAGTGGCTGGAGGCATCAGATCAGTGGTGAGGGTGCTGAGCAGCTGGACGTGAAGCTGGTGGCGGTGCGACCCAGGGCAGTCACCCCGATTTGGCCCCCCTCTAGGGACGGCTCTGACTGGAGGCACATCGGAAAATAATTTGCCCCAGACATACAGTACATTAGAATCTCTGGGTTAGTGCCAACACATTGCAACATGCTGCCTTCTTTGCAAAAAACAACTTTCTGTTTCGCTATGAAGTTTAGCAATCACTTTCAGCCCTTCTTTGTATTATGTGGGCATAGTTACCGGATCTACTTCTTTGCCTAATGAGTGACATGAAGGTTGGCTAGAGAATTTATTTAAAATGACTCTCTCACAAGCGCTTGAATTTCCTTAATAATAAATGAAATTCCCATAGATTGCCTCTAGGAGGAACTAGGCTTGCATTGCCATTTCCCTGGTCAGGGTTTGGATCCCTAATAAAGGTGCCTATTCAGGTTCCGTCTTTATTTCTCCTCCAGTCGGGTAGAATCCGGAACCACTCACTTTGCATCCTAATGAGTAGAAGTGTTGTACAAGTAGGATAAAATGGATTGAATTCGGTATGACGGGAAATATAGTCAAATAGGGTGGTAGGTTCCAGGTTCAATTTTTCTATTAAGACTTCCTGTGTGACTTTGTGCAGGTCACTTAAGCCCACATCCTCAAGGATATTGAGATTCCTAACAATCATTGATTTCACTTAAGGACTTGTGACTTAGCCTCTCTGCCATCTGTGAAATG